ATTTTTGAATAAGTAAAACAATTCCTAGACCAGTATGGGGGGTGTGGTGTGTGTGTGTGTGTGTGTGTGTGTGTGTGTGTGTGTCTTTAACTGGAGACTCCAGCATATTTTTGAATGAAAGGATTCCTAGGCCATTGTGTGTGTGTGTATGTGCGCGCGTCTTTAACTGGAGACCCCAGCATATTTTTGAATGAAAGGATTCCTAGGCCATTGTGTGTGTGTGTGTGTGTGTGTGTGTGTGTGTGTGTGTGTCTTTAACTGGAGACCCCAGCATATTTTTGAAAGAAAGGATTCCTAGGCCATTGTGTGTGTGTGTGTGTGTGTGTGTGTGTGTGTGTGTGTGTGTTTAGAGATTTGTGAAGACTTTGGGGACCTCAGCATATTTTTGAATAAGTAAAAGAATTCCTAGACCAGTTAGATCAGTATGGAGTGTGTGTGTGTGTGTGTGTGTGTGTGTGTGTGTGTGTGTGTGTGTCTTCAGAGATTTGTGAAGACTTTGGGGACCTCAGCATATTTTTGAATGAAAGGATTCCAAGGCCTTTGTGTGAGTGTGAGTGTGTGTGTGTGTGTGTGCACCCATGTCACAAGCAGGGCCTCTGCTTTGCGTTGTGTTAATTCATCTCTGCAGACGGACTGGCCTGAATGAAAGGATTCCTAGGCCCCCCCACCCCCCCACTCTTGAACACTATCGTGTCTCACCTGCCGGCCACTTGGTGGAAACTGAGCCTGGGATCTAAACCCATGAATGAAACCTCACAGGAGCCAGGGCAGAAACTATGCAGCTTCAGTGGCTGTTCACACAAAGCATTTGGCAGTAGGAAACTCAATGAGGCCTGTTCTCTTCTTGTTATCAGGGAGAGGGCTCTCAAACTGACCTCTGGCTTCAGGTTAGCGTGTGGTGTGCGTGACTCATCTTGACAGCTGTGCAGGAGTGCTGACACAACAGGGGCACCCGATGCCCCCTCTGTTTGGTCTTAAAGAGCAAGGCAAAAAGGAGAGGGTTAAGCACAAACCTCTCTCAGCGAAGTGGGGCTTCACTGATGCTGAGCCTACAGAATCTATTTGCATCAAGGTGAAGCTGCGCTTCTCGCTCGTCTAGGGTAGCCTGTTGTCCCAAGAGTGGAGATAATACCACCGTCTTACTAGATTGTGGAGCGGTGGGGTTATGGGTGGATGAGGATAAATTGTATTTGAGTTTCATACATTTATCACTGAAGGACTTGCAGACTTTATTATAAGGCAGCCTCACTGTATCCTTATGGCTTCATTAATTATAACATCTAGACATAATTAGGCTCTAGCTAAGAATAGCCAATAACATGGAAAATAATTCCAAGAAAAAAAAATATGAGATTCTGGGCCAGGGAGAAAGAGCTCAGAAGCATCGCACACATGACATACAAGAGGCCTGGATGCAAACTCTGGCAGTCAAGCACAGCTGGGAGCGACCCTTGAGAACTGAGCCAAGAGTAGGCCCCGAGTATGCTGAGTGTGATGTAAAAAAAAAAAAATTTAAAAAAAAAGTATAGTGAGGAACTGGAAGAACAAAGCAGAAGGTGCCCATTGATCGTCAGACTCACATAGAATTAAAACATCACCCCTCTGGGGCCAGAGTGGCAGTACAGCAGGTTCTTTTATGCCTTTTATGTGGCTGTCCCAGGTTTGATTCCTAGCACCCCATATGGTCCTCTGAGCCCAGCCACGAGTGATCCCAGGAGTGAGCCCAGAGTGAGGAGTAAGCTCTGAACAGCACCAGGTATAGCCCCAAAACAACAACTAGCACTAGCACTATCCTCCCATTGTTCATCAGTTTGCTCAAGCAGGCCCAAGTCTCCATTGTGAGACTTGTTGTTACTGTGTTTGGCATATCAGATATGTCACGCATAGCTTGCTAGGCTTTGCCGTGTGGGCAAGATACTCTCGGTAGTTTGCCGGGCTCTCCGAGAGGGGTGGAGGAATCGAATTCGGATTGGCCATGTCGGCTGCATGCAAGGCAAATGCCCTACCCATTGTGCTATCACTCCAGCCCCAAAACAACAACAACAAAATTTAAATAAAGCATCATCCACCATCAGTGAGGGCTCCCAGGTATAGTTCCTCTATCTTCTTATTTAGAAATATATTCCTATCCTCCCCACTGTGTTTCAAAATTCTAAACAGGGATGACTTTGTATATACTCCATGATTCTGAAATATCAATTTTGATGGTTGGGAATTTTTTTTAATTCTCAGCCAACCCAGCCGGTGGTTCAATGTGAGGGTCCACGGATGCGATGCTCCTCAGTCACCTGGAAATGCCCTGGAGTGGTGCTTGGGATTTAACTGGGGTCAGCCATGTGCAAAGTATTTTGCACTATTGACCCCTTTTACAATCACCGTCACTGTCACTGTCCTCCCATTGTTCATTGATTTGCTTGAACGTGCCCAGTAACGTCTCCATTGTGAGACTTGTTATTACTGTGTTTGGCATATTGAATACATCACGGGTAGCTTGCCAGGCTTTGCCGTGCGGGCAAGATACTCTCGGTAGCTTGCCAGACTCTTTGAGAGGAGTGGAGGAATCAAATCTGGCTCAGCCAAGCTGGTTGCACACAAGGCAAACCCCCTACAGCTGTGCTACCGCTCCATCCCCTCTTTTACAATAATTTTAATAATAGAGTTATCTTAGAAAAGTTTTGAGTTTGTAGAGAAATTGAACCTAAAGTACCTAATACCAAGTTCCTGTGCACCTCCTTCCCCAAGGCCCACAGTTTCCATTATTATTATCATTTTGTTTTAGTGGCTGTAGGTGGTACCACTGATGAACCAAAACTGAAATATTATTAATTGATGCCCATAGTTTACATCTGATTTACACTCTCCCAGATTTTTTTATTTAATTCATTGGGGGGTTCTGGACCATACCCGGTTGTGCTTAGGGGGACTCTTCCCATAAGTACTTGGGGACTGTGCCGTTACTGACATCAAACCTGGAACTTCTGGATGTGAGCATGAGCTCTGGTCTTTCAAGCCGTCCCCCTGGACTTCAGTGGCCTTCAAAATATGTCACATATCCCCACTTCACTTGCCTACAGAATCATTTCACTGCCCTAATACCCCTATGTTCCACCTATTCATCTGTGCCCTACTTTCAGCCTGAATCCTGAGCAACCACTGATTTTTTCACTTTCTCTCTCTCTCTCTCTCTCTCTCTCTCTCTCTCTCTCTCTCATTGTCGGTGCATTTATTTTTAAGTAACTACCCAACTGTTGCTAAGGTGTCATCATTCATTCCTCTTTTCACAAATAACTCTGCCATCTCTCAGTAACTGCTTTGCGCTTGGCAGTGCCCCGTGCATCAGGAATATGGCAGAGGATCAAAAATTTTAAATCCCCATCTCCATGAAGCTTACAGAGCAGGACATGAAGTCTTGAGGTCTGGCTCAGTCCTAAGTAGGAATCACTCAGGCCCCGTGGAAGCACAGGATGAGAGGCAGGGCGAGAAACTAGTTTGAGAATGGGCCCTCCTACCAGTGTGTCCCCTGGTCTCAGAGGTCAGGCCCAGCCTCCCTCTTTCCTTCCTGCTGTCTGGTCTCAGGGATTCTCTCTTGGCCTCCTGTGCTGTGTTTGCTTGTCCCGCTCAAGCACAATGCCATTCCCCAGTGCTTCCTCCCAGCCAGCCTCAGAGACAAGGGCCCGCCCCTCCTCGAGACCACGGTGCTGACTCTGGTGCTTCATTTGCACTCGTGAAGCCACGTTCAAGTGTGAGCCACCCCTGGTATGTGCCAGTGGCAAGGTGTTAAGTCTGAAAACTTGCTCTTCATTATTTGTGGCCCGGCCTCATTTTTTGGAAATAGAAAGTTGAAGAAGTTGGAGGTCCGTGATCAAAACTCCAAGAGTCCAGGATCATCTTCTGAATGCCGACCAGACTGAATCGATCTCTGGAAGCGAATGCAACCCCAAGTTTTTTGCCTGACTCTCCAAATCCTTCTATCTTGGACAGCCATCAAGAAGCCCCCAACTACCCCCGCCCTCTCCCTAGCTAAGAGAAGAGCTTTCAGCTGAGAAGGCGGGCCAGGGAGCAAGGCCCTCAGCTCTGCCCCACTATGTTCCTTTTATTTCGTACCAGAGGAACCCTCAGGGAGCAGCTCCATGTTCTTCTGGAGACCAGCTGACCTACTGGCCAGCTCCCATGGGCTGCCTAGCTCCAGTTCCCGCATCACTGACATCACACAGCTAACTTGAAATTGGCCGTGGTCAGAGTATTTACACCTAGAAACAGCGCTAGAAGTCTATGTTCCTCCCCAGGAGAGCTACTTGACCAGCAAGTAGTCCTGGGAAATCCCTTCTGAACCAAATCATTAGAGCAAGTCTACCCTAGGAATTGGTTCGGAGCCATAGCACAGCGGGTAGGGAGTTTGCCTTGCACGCGGCCAACCTGGGTTTGATTTCTCCGCCCCTCTCGGAGAGCTCAGCAAGCTACTGAGAGTATTCTGCCCGCATGGCAGAGCCTGGCAAGCTCCCCATGACATATTCGATATGCCAAACATAGTAACAACACGTCTCACAATGGAGACATTACTGGTGCCCACTCGAGCAAATCGATGAACAACAGGAGGACAGTACTACAGTGCTACCCTAGGAATTAAACTGTCCCCCCCCACCCCGGCGGTTCCATTCCCCCATTCATTCATTTGTTCTAATTCTACTATGTGGCTTGAGGCTGAATACCACCCCAAGTTCACAGGAGATCAAATCCCACACCTTTTGGAAACCAGCTTTAATTCAAGCTTATCAGAACTGGCTCATCCTTTCATTTTGCTCAGAATATTGGGCCAATATTAAATGGATCCAGCCTGATTCCCTCCGAGGGCAATCTAAGTAGTCCGACTGCAAAACTTACCCTCACAGGCTGATGATGAGAATCAGCCTTGGTTTCCCCGGGGTGGCCAGCACCTTATTTGTCTGTGTGTAAGCAACATGGGACCCTCCTTGCTCAATGGCCTTTTGTGCTTGGTGTAGGACCGCACACGCAAGAGCAAAAGCCGATGCTGCGGACCAGGCTGCACTGGCGGCCCGCCAGGAGTGTGATATTGCAAGAGCCGTTGCCAGGGAGCTGTCACCTGACTTCTACCAACCAGGTAAAACACTTGTCCTGGGGTGTGAGAGGAGGGAGCAGTATGTCCGATTTCCTTTTCCATTTCACGTGAAGAGCTGTGCTCCATGAAGCCCGCTTTGCAGGGCAAGTGGGAGCTGGGACGAAGTACCTGTTGGTGAGTTAGAACTTGGCATTGGGCTTAGTCCTCAGTGTCTTCCTTCCTGCCTTTCGGACTCCAAAATAAAAGTTTCAAGGTGATGGCAAACATGAGTTGGGAGCACAAATAAAGTATGTGGTTTGGGGACCAGGGCTTAGAAGCTAAGATGCTTGCCTTGTACCCCACTGTCACCCAAAAGACCAGGAGTCACCCCTGATCACAGAGCCAGGAATAGCTGGTGAGCGCCCTGAGATGTGGCCCAGAACCTCCATCCCATAAAGGAAAGAAACTGGTTTTAAGAAGTAGTGTCGATGTGTTAGTGACCACTGTTACAATAAATGCCTTAAATTCAGAGTCAGTGGGTAATGACATCAGCAGAGAGAAAAGACCCAAAAGCACTGTGCTATTTGCTTAGGGAGCAGAGTTGGGGCGGGGGTTAAATTTTATTTCCTTTTTTCCCCCTTTTTTTGTTTTTGTTTTTGTTTTGGGGTCACACTCAGCAGTGCTCAGGGCTTACTCCTGGCTCTTCACTCAGGAATCACTCCTGAAGGGGCATTGGGGACCAATTGGGGAGCTGGGGATTGAACCTAGGTTGGCTGCATTCAAGGCAAGCACCCTGTCTGCTGTACTATCATTCCAGTCCCTTGTGCTGGGTTTTTATTTGTTTTGTTTTTGTTTTTAATGTACCAAACTAAAGCTCAACTTTGTTAGAAGATAATGAAGAGTATCATTTTAAAGACAGATTAATCTGCACGGATTAAGGGGAAAATGCATGTCCTGATGCAAGAAAAAAAATGGCATTTTAGAGAAAACAAATCCTGATTGTCTACCTCTCAGATGCTATGAAATAGCAAAAAAATAAATATTGCAGGAAGCTTAACTACTTAACTCACTTCCACAAGGCCCTGACTGTTTTTCTATAATGGTGTTAATAAAGTGGCAATGGCCACGTTTTCCTATAGGCTTCTCTATTGTTTGATAAATGCCATCTTCCTAGTGATTGAGTGGGCCTTAGAGCTCTGGTGAAGAGACACAAATAAATTTGTTCTAAAATTTTGAGTACCAGAATTTGTATTTTCATGATAAATATTTTTCTGCATTGGTTTGTCTTTAATTTAGCTGAATCATTAGCACCCTTCATCATCTGTGAGCTCAGTACATGTCGGTTTCTAAAAGATGTTATATATAACACACGAAGCATTACAGTGGGTAAATGAACAAAGCGAACAGAATAGCAAGATTCAGATAAAAGCTAGAAACCTGGCTGTAAGGAAGGATGAAGGGACGAGAAGAAAGTGCTGAGAAGAAGGATGAGAATGGAGGGTTTGTTAATTTTCCCAAAGAACAAAGAGTAGTAGTAAGGAGGACATAAGAAAAAAGTAAGACAGCACAGATGTGAAAGGCTGCAGAGAGGTCCAGAGGAGATGCTGCTTGTCAGTTACTCCTGCAATAGTTCAGCACCCAAAAAGGCAGCCTGTGGTTGTGGCTGTTTTCTTTCATGTGAACCTTAAATCTTCAGGTGAGGTTTAAATCCTGTAATGAATATGAATCCATCCATATTTATTCATCCATCAATTTATCAATACTTATCAAGCATATGAACTACATGATTAAACATGAATAAACACATGTATGCACATTATAATGAGCAAAAGGAAATGTCCTTGTTTTTTTTTTTTTAACTGATGATAAATGAACTCCCTTCCCTGGTCCTTAAGAATATTAGCAAACTGCCTGTGGCTGGGTCTGAGTGAGTCCATAAAGGTTCTAGTCCCCAGGGAGGTAGTCCTGTGCCTGCCTCCACAGGGAACACTGCATTTGGGAAGGACACAGGGCCTTGTGAAGTCACACTGGACTGTTGCTGCTTTGAAAGCGAACAGCCTTCCTATTGTCTGTGGATGCTCACGGCTGGGTTCTGGGGTGAATTCTTTCGAAGAATAGGGCCCCTATAGATTTCTACCATGTGTACCTAGAAGTAAGTGATACTGGAATTCATTTCAGTTTCCCAGACGAAATGGTTTTAAGAGCCTTTTATGATTGAAAAGCAGCTGAAGGGGGTTGGAGAGGGAATATTGTGAAAAAAGGTAATTCCACCCGCGTAGAGTTAAAAGAGCCTCATATAAGCAAGTTGTCCACTAGTAATGAATACATTCCAATAGCAAGAGATGACAACGGGCCTATTCGAGACAGGAGCTAAGCGGGAAGGCTGCAATCCCCTTTGACCCACGGCCAACATGTCCATCAGCAACTGTATAGAAGGCCTTTTCTGTACTCGGTATTATTGATTTTCTCAAGGGAGCATAACTCATGCTTTCCATTCAGCATTTACAGGATGATCAAATCAGATAGACATTTTCTAAAAGGGCTTTCGAATACTTTTTTTAGGTTCAGGCTGCTCATTTAATTTACATATCTCTGATATAAATGTTTCCATTGTTTGGAACACATGTGTCATACTCAGCATTGTTAGCCCTGGGAAAAGAGGGTACGTGGCAGAGCTTTCTGAACACTCTCGTGGGTAAGTTACCTGTTTCCAGCTACTGGCAGCTTTCTCAAGCTATTTACCATCCCAATTAAAGTCTTACACTTTCCAGAACTATTATTCTATAGTTTTGTTAAAACTAAGAAAAAAAAACAGTGTGGGATAACTTTGTTACTCAGCATTAGATATTAAGTTCGCATGACAAAAAGCACATAAATGGTGTGTGTGATGGGTATATAGCTCATTGCCTACAGAAACCTACATTGTCATGAGTGTGGATGAGAGGGTGAATCATCCCCCTAGGTCTTAAAATTAGCCCAGGGTACTGCATAGAATTATATAATGTACTTTAAAGATGAGTATTGCCTTATAAACTGATTGAGTATATTTATACATCTAAAGAAAGACTGAGGGCCGGAGCGATGGTACAGCGGGTAGGGTGCCTTGCATGCAGCTGACAGAGTTCAATCCCTGGCATCCCATATGGTTCCCCCAAGCATAGCCAAGAGTATTTCCTGAGTGCAGAGTCAGGAGTAACTCCTGAGCATCGCTGGGTGTGACCTAAAAAGAAAAAAAAAAATTAAAAAAAAAGAAAGAACGATTGATCAACCAAAGAAATATGAAAGGAAAATGAAGTCACAGAGGTGAAAGTTGGCAGTGCCCATCCAAACACTGTTCAGAAGAGAGAGAATAGCTAGAATCTCAGAGTTTCAGTTGCCTTGGGAAGAAGTTTCCATTAGGAGGGAGGTTGCAGGGAACTGGAGTCAGTGATATATGGCTGTATCAAAAGATTCTCCTGATGGCATTGGATATTTGATTCATCTCATATTCTTTGTCCTGATTCCATTTTGGTTTCTCATTTTGGTTTCTCATGGGGGTAGAGCATACACTGGTAGTATCAGTGCAGGTTCCCTGGCTGGCCGGTGTGGGTTTTTTGCATTGCTTATAACTGGTGAATTTGACCTTCTGATATTATAGTTCAGTCTCCTGAACTTTGATAATGTGATTCTACTCTGAGGAACAGCTCTTCATAGTGCTGCTAAAATGGGTGTTTAAGCCTGGAAAGCCGAGATAGGAATTTCAAGGGTGATCTCTTACGGAAGAAGGGGAGTAGTAAATTATGTGGAGGCTGGTTTGGCAATTAGATGTGTGACTCTTCATTCCACTGTTTCAGCATCCTTCCAGTCAATGAATTTTAGCTTCAAGTGACAAGAAGTAGGTTTTCATAATGTTATAGTTATCAAGCATGGGAAGGACAAGACATAACCTGGAAGAGGGAAAAATTAGAAAGAAAAAAAAAACAACGAAGAAGGAGGATCGCTGCCCTGGAGTGCTGTCCATGTATTAAGCCGTCTTGAGAGTTAGCCAACATCCCTCAGGCAGCTGCCTCAAAAGGTTTCAACTTCCCTTGTTTAAAAGTATGTGTGAGAATCAGCATAGCTGCTGTAACAAATTGCCACTGACTGGGTGACTGGAGTGGCAGGAATGAATTTCCCAGCTCTGGAGGCGGGACCTCTAAGATGGGCACTCTAGCATCATGGGAGTCTGGTAAGCACAGTCATCTTCTCCCTGGATCTCCTGTGGTCATTTCTGTGCAGGAGACAGAGAATTCTGGTGTTTCTTTCTCTTTTATCCATGAATCCTTCGATCTGACCTTCATACCTCCCAAAAGCTGCACCTCAAAGTACCTGTCAATCCGGGGGTTAGTCAGGCATCCCATTTGGGGGCCTTCACTGGCTCTCCCACACACTACCCGTTGACTAAGGTGCTCAGTGAAATCTTTAATGTTGGCATTATGGACTGTTGTTTAAGCTACATTTCTGGTAGCAGCTAGGAATGTTTATTCACCAAGATGTATTTTTATTACATAATCATCTTTCTTAACATTGTAATATGTTGGTTCAGAAAAGGGAGAAGAATCCAGAAAGGCATAGCATCTAAACTCAGTTTCCAGACCCCAAAATTTTGGATGAATTTTCCATAGGAATGGGAGAAATAGCTTAATCAGATTGAGCTGAAATGAATAATTCTTGGATTCGCTGGTTATCTGAGGACCATCCCCCGCAGTGCTCAGGGGATACTCCCAGCTCTGTGCTCAGGGGTTGCTCCTGATTGAGGATTGATCCCAGCCCTCCCACCTGCAAAGTGTGTGCTCCAACTGCCATCATGGGAGGCAGTCTCCCTCTCCAATCCCTGCCGCTTATTTTTACATTGACTCTCTTATATTCAACTCCACACACGTGTGTCGCGCCCCGCCACGTGCAGGGCACTGGAACCCCACAGTTTGCTGACAAGAACTCTAGGGCTACAAGCCACAGAGGTTGCAGTATTGTTACAGAGGCAGCTGCCAGGTGCTGTAAGAAAGTGGCATTCTTTCTGTGCAGAATATAAAAGCGATCTTGCC